AGCTATGGCCATTTGTCTCCCTTCCTACTCTACTCTCCAACCTTTGTTAGTCTCCTCGCTGTTTGGAGTCCTCAGTTAGCTGCCATATGTAAAAAATTCATATTTCAATATTTGTTGTTGTTAAGTGCTGTTGAGTCGGTTACAACCCATGGCAACCCTATATAGGGTTTCCAAGGGGCAACTCGTGAGCTTGAATGCCGACCTTGCTAAACCGACTTTGCAGTCCAGTGTTATTAACCCACAGCGCCACACCAGGACTCCATTTCAATATTCTTATTAAACAAGATGTTCCTGCTTTATAATTTGAAAACCAAACGATTTTAATCTTTAATGACTTAGTCAAAATAAACATCCCTAAACCATAAAGCACCACTCAAAACAAACTTAATTATTGTTGTATTCTGTACAACAGATTTCTCCCTCCAAGGGTGAACAGCTTCTGGTTAAATAAATAACACAGATAATTTTTTATTCTCTTACCTTCCCGAAGTCCTTAGAGAAGGATTTATATGTCCTGTTAATTATGCTTTAGACCTTCAGAAAAATTACTTAAATAAGCAAGATTTCTTTTTTAAATTGTTGAAGTGTGAATTCTGTAATTTCCTTTGCTTCAAAATGGAGAAGCACTTTGAAGAGAGATTTGCGCTTGAGTCAAAATGCTCTACTGTAAGTGGAGGTGAGAAGTTAAACAGGTGCCTATAAATTGGAACTCTGGCAAAGCAACTGAAGTGTCCAGAAAAAAAGGGAGAAAGTCATCAGGGAAGAGACTTCTAGTTTAGCAGCCAGAGGCATCCTCCCAGGTTCCTCAAGAGCCAAAAATAAACCCCAAAGTCTCAAGTGAGGTAGCCCCTTATCAGCCTCTCCCTGCTGACTTACCTACAGACGTGGCAGAGGACAGATTTGACAGTTCAAAGATATGACTACGACTAAATAGTTAAGAATGCTGGATCCTGTATATTTTCTCAACAGCAACAAAAAAATTAAGAAACATGGTCTCATTTATTAACCAATGCACCACTGACTGCTATAGAAGATTTGTAGATTAACTAATATTTAAGATATTGCTATGTTCCTGGAATTATCTTCTTTAAAGAGGGTTTAACTTTTTGAAAGTATAATTGTATTTAGCTTTCTGGTGTTTTACTTAGGATTTTTATAATTTTATAATTACACCCATTCCTCCCTCACATATTGAAGTGTTTAGGTTGCAAGGTCATTATGTAAAATCAGTGTTAAATGGAAGCTTCTTGGGTTCTGCCTTGTCTTCAATGTAAGTGTCCCTCTCTCTTCACTTGCCACATTTGAGAGACCCTGGTGCATCTTGGGACACGGTACTCCATTCCTCACCACACCTTCCAAACCACTGCAGAATCCCCGGGGCTCATAATGTTTGGGTGTTGTTGCCTGCTGCTTGTAACCTCCCATTACCTGCCCTGAAAGAAGCAAAAAGTGAGGGAGTGCAGAAAACAACAACTCCACTGGGTGAAATCAGAAGGGAGTGAAGAAGTTTTGATGAAGGAGAAGGGAGGAGTTTAAGGGCATGAGGGGGGATAGAGGGTATATCAAGGATAACATGAACCCAGCCATAGACACCTGAATGTTCATGGCATTCCCAGAAATGGCAAATATTAGAAGTAGCTATATGTGGGAATATCGGTACATGAAGCTTGTTAATTGCTTTTTGGAAGCAATTAATATGGAGCCTTGAATGTCAAGCCCAAAGTCACACATGTTATCAGCAAGTGGGGGGGGGGGGGGGGGTCACCAAACACTTTGAGCAAAGGAATCACTTTCGTCCACAGAAGATAAACAAAATGGAGAAATAGAATAGAAAGGGGAAGCCAACAGCCACAACACAAATGTACAGAATTACTTAATAGCAAGGAAAAGGGAGAGACCAAAAGGAACTGAGACGACTCCGAGAGGAAACATACTACCATACCACTGAGCTACAATTTTGGGCAGGATCAAAACTATTACCTACAGACAACTTGACTCAGATTTAAATAATAAACTGACTGCAAACCACACGTCAGCAGTTCAAACCTACCAGCTACTCCTTGGAAAGTCTACACAGGGTTGCTATGAGTCAGCACTAACTTGACATCACTTAAAAACAACTGGACTACAAATAAATTCTGGCACTAGCCTTTCTGTAATATAAGTCAGACCAATCTATAAATTCGAAGTAAACGTCTTAAGTATTACAAAAGAAACACAGTAGGCCACATTCATTGTTGGTGTTGTTATTATTAGGTGCCATGAGTCATTACTGACTCACAGAGAACCTATCCATAACAGAATGAAACAGTGTTGGGTCCTGCAGCAACCTCACAATAGTTGCTACACCTGAGCCCATTGCTGCTCACTGTGCTAATCATCTTGTCGGGAGTCTTCCTCTTTTTCTCTGACTGTCCAGTTTACCAAACATGATATCCTTCTCCAGGGAATGGTCCTTCCTGATAATATATCTGAAGAGTCAGAGACAAGATGTGGCCATCCTGGCTTCCAGGGAACACTCTGACTGTACTTATTCCAATACAGACTGGTTTGTTATTTTGGGAGTCTACGGTACTTTTAATATTCTCCTCCAACACCATAACTCAAATGCATCAATTTTTCTACAGTCTTTCCTTTCACTGTCCAACTTTCACATGCATATGAGGTTACTGAATAAACCACGGCTTTGGGTAAGGCACACTTCGTCCTTAAACTGACATCTTTGCTCTTCAACACTTTAAAGAGGTCTTGCGCAGCAGATGTGCTAATGCAATATGTCATATGATTTCTTGATTGCTGCTTCCATGACTGTTCATGGTTGATCTGAGCAAAATGAAGTCTTTGACAACTTCAATCTTTTCTCCATTGATATGGATCTTGTTTACAAGTCCAATGGTGAGGATTTTCTATTTTCTTTACATTGAGATGTGACCCATATCGAAAGATGTGTTCTTTGATCTTCATCAGTGTTTTAAGTTGTCTTTGCTTTAACAAGCAAGATTGTATCATCTGCATATTGCCATGCTTTTCTTCACATAATCCAGTTTCTTGAATTTATGTGCTCAGCATACAGATTGAATAAATATGGTGAAATAATACAACCCTGGCACACATCTTTCCTAATTTTATACCATTCAGTGTTCCCTTGTTCTATTCAAACTACTGCTTCTTGGACTATGTACAGGTTCTTCATGAATACAATTAAGTGTTCCGGAATACTCATTCTCTGCAATGTTATCCATAGCTTTTCAGGATCCACACAATCAAAAGCCTTTATGTAGTCAATAAAGCACAGGTAAACATCTTTCTGGTATTCTTGCTTTCAGCCAAGATCCATCTGATGTCAGCAAGGATATCCCCCATTCCACATCTTCTTCTGAATCGGGTTTGAACCTCTGGAAGTTCTCTGTTAATGGAGTATTGCAGCCATTTTTGTATTATCTTTAGCAAAATCTTACTTGCATGTGATATTAATGATACTGTCCGATGATTTCTGCATTCTATTGGGTCGCCTCTTTTTGGAACGGACAGAGTCAGTTGGCCAGGTAACTGTCTTCCAAATTTCCTGGCATAGATGAGTGAGTACTTCCAGTGCTGCATCAGTTTGTTGAGAGATTTCAATTCATATTCCATCAATTACAGGAGCCTTGTTCTTTGCCAATTCCTTCAGTGCACCTTGGACTTCTTCCTTCTGTACCATTGGCTCTTTACCATATGATGCCTCTTGAAATGGTTGAATACCAACCACTTCTTTTTGCTCTAGTGACTCTGTGTATTCCTTCCATCTTCTTTTGGTGCTTCCTGAGTCATTCAATATTTTGCCCATAGAATTCTTCAATACTGCAATTCAAAGCTTGATTTTTTTTTTTTTCCTTCAGGCTGTATTCATTAACCATCTATTAATATGACCACAGAATCCTGGTGTGGCACTGAGGGTTAATGCACCAGACTGCAAAGCCATTTGAACTGCAAGGTCAGCGGTTCAAGTGCACCAGCTGCTCCTCAGAAACCCTACACAGGGTTGCTATGGGTCAGAATCAATTATACAGCACTTAACAGTAACAAAGTTGTTGTTGTTGTTATGTGCCGTGCAATCTGTTCCGACTCATAGCGACCCTATACAGGATTTCCGAGGTTGTAAATCTTTACAGGAGCACAAAGCCTCATCTTTCTCCCGTGGAACAGCTGGTAGTTTCCAACTGCTGACCCTAAGGTTAGCAGTTTAACCACTATGCTACCAGAGCTCCCTAACAATAACAATACGACCACATTTATCCTCCCCCTTTATGCCCAAAGGTTGGCAATTTGAGTTTAACTAGAGATACTTCTGGAAAAAGGTCTGCTGATCCACTTTTGAAAAATCAGCCATAAAAACCTTATGAAGCACTGAACTCTTCTGGCAAACACAGGGTTTCCTTGAGTCACAATTAAACTCAATAGCAACTGTTTTTCTTGTTTTTAATACTACCAACGTAGTGGGCATTTTTCACATATTTGACAAATAACTCAAAGTTTTAGTTTCCAAATTAAAATTTATGCTGCATCCCTCTACAAATCTAAGCATTAAAATGATGCCTAGTTTGAAGGCATGTGAATTTAATTACGATGTCCCTGGGAGCTGTGAATTGCTAGGGAATAGTCCAAAGATCTTTCTTTACTTGATTCTATAAATATTCAAAAAGGTTGGGGTGAGTACACCAACCAACGAGGCCTTTGAGTGAACAGCACAGGGCAAATTTCTGTTGTTTAAACAATGAACTGCAGATGTAGGAATATGAATTAGCCATAACAACTTCCTTTTCATCATTTAGAGAATGATTAACCTGTTGGCAAATTCAAACAAGAAATTGGTGTTATAAAGAAAATTAAACAGTATATGTAAATGTTGGTGATCCTGGTACCAGTTCTTAGGAGAGACACTCTGATTCACATTCCTCTGAAAAGACACACATTTATTTCTATCTACATCCAGTTAATAAGGAGATTATCCTCATACTTACCTAAAATATTTTCATGCCTTAGCATCACAGTATTGTACAATTCTGTTTCCCTGAACCATGACTTCTCATCGCGGGACGAGAAAATCTTCACGGCAACATTCTCTCCTTGCCAGCTGCCTCTCCACACCTCTCCATATCTGCCTTTCCCTGTGGAAAGCAAAACAGAGACGCTGAACATTAGACGCACAAGAGGCAGCCAGCCTTAATTATGTTTTTTAAAGAAGCCAATGGACTTAGAGGTTGCAACTCTTAATCTCTCGCTGTTTGCTCCAAGAATCTCAGTTTGCGGATGTAAATACCTGCCTGTAAAGACATACAAATGTGAGGTGGAACTCACCCCTCCCACCCACCTCATGAAGACAACGAATTGAAAGTATCTGTATTGTACAATCAGCTGCTAATTATTATTTACATTTTAAAATGTTTATATGTTTATTGTTTCTATGAGCTGTCAAGTCAGATCTGACTCATAGAGACTCTGCATCAGGATTTCTGAGGCTGGACACCTCTGCAGGAGCAGAAAACCTTATCTTTCTCTCATGGAGTGGCTGGTGGGCTTATCATTTGGGGAGTCAATGCACATGAAAGTCAGAAAAACTTTGAAAATGTACAAAGTCAGATTTTATGTTGTAGTGAAGGGTAAGAAAAATACAGCATGAGTGTGTGTGGGGGTGGAAGGGATGGAGGGGGGACACGTTTCAAAAAAAAGTTCATGGAAAAACTCCATTATCTTTCCATTCCATCTGTCCACAAACTTTTTGAAGCCTCCCTGTATATGGCAAACATGAATAGCTTACTAGATTCTTTCCTTTCAAAAAGGATCAACATAGGCACTTTCTAAGAATTCAGATTTATGAATTTACCCAGGCATTTTTGAAGCATGCATTTGAGGCATGTGTTCTCAAGGGTAAAAAACCCAACAAAACACAGAAACAACACTACCGTATAGAAGGAGGTCAACAAGCATCCCTACACCGTTCCTAACGGATTTGTTGCTGGAAGATCTATTTCAAAAGAGGATTTGTAAAATCTTAACCACATAATCCCAGAACAGTACTGATTTCTGACATTAGTCATGGGTATTTGCTCCTTACATAGCTCCTGTGATGTCACACGTGGGCTACGGTGGGAAGGCCACTTGGAGAAGACATTTTGAAAATGTGGGCACTCTAGTTTTGATTTGATCATTTGGTGCACGCCCCCCTCCTGCAGCAGCAACACAGTTGACAGCTTTGTCAACTCCAGACTCCCTCTTCCAGTCTTCTCTTTAATTATAGGTAGGGGTGATCAGGGAGGGTGGGCGGAGGAGGTAATTACCACCAGACGATGGGGATCAACGCAGGGTATAATCAAGGGTAAAGACATCCGAGGCACCTAGATAACAATGCAGCAGGAGATACAACTCACAGGGCAATGGGGCTTTCTACCAAGACTGCTGGGAAGCGTGACTTATATAATAAGCAGCTGCAGGTCCACCTGCACATACAGAAAACAGCTCTTGGCCCACAAGCTAAGCCACCAAGAACCCAAACATGGAAGGAGAGGGCGTGTCTGTCCAGGTGGTACACCTGCAACACAAAGGGCTAAATCTAGATTCCCTGTTAATGAATACTGTTGCTATAAAATACCAATGTGCAATCCAAAACTATGTTAAATGTGCTCTTTGTGGACCACTACCAGATCAGACAAATATTAATTAGCACAAAACTAATTTTAATAAAGTCCAAGAATTTGCCTCATATATGTAGTTTAAGCTCAAGGAGAGTGCTAAGATCCTACAAAATTAACTGCTAGAAGATGGTATAACTCATCTTTTCCTGGCTTTGACTTCATTATCTATGTTTATTTTTCCTTGGCTTTCTTATTTTCATGAGGAAGGGATAAAATTATTCTGGGGACTTGTGAACATTACTATAAAGTGGTCTCAAATTCCTTTCTGTAAAGAAAGCAGGAGATAGGTGGCAAGCTAGTTAAAATAGAAACATACTTCAATGGTTTTCCTAGTCTTCTAAGTTGACAAGTACTTTGTTTTCAAATGCAACCCTGCTTAGAAATCCCGAAAACAGAAGCAGAGCTTCCTAAAAGTCCTGAGTGAGGGACCCCAAAAAGGATACTCTTAAAGACCTTGAAATTTGGAGTTTCACTGATCACCATCTGAAAATGACTACAATCTGAAAATCGACTACAAATTCCCAGTTTTCAAACCAAATAACGGTGTCATACTCTTGGTAGAGATGAACTCATATGTACCACATGAACACTAACTACAAGCTGCTACAAAGCATTACTTTTGTTAAAGTGGTCAGCGCTAAACAAACAAAATGCTATTACTGAATTTACACTGTTTCCAAAAAAACTGCTGAAAACAATCTATACCATCAGAAACTGCATACATTATTTCAGTGATGCAATATTATTTTGCCCTTTGGACTCTAGGGTCAATCTGGGAGGCTCGATCTTGAGATAGCATGCTACTCTGAAAATGCTGAGTGGTGACAGGACAGGGCAGAGGGTCACAGGACAAGTAACCAATCAGGAGGATGTTTGTTGGCACAATCGAACAACCCTGGTGATCATCACATCTTGTTTTTCTCTCCTGGCAGCTGGTTGTGTCAGGGAAGTGGAGGACTATTACTATGACTACAGACCCAAGGAAAAGGCAATAAGGTAGACTGGTTAGTCACTGTTCTTAACGCTTCTTGCCCCCTTTCTACGATAGGGTTTGGGAGCCCCCAAGTTTTCGCAAAACAGAAAAAAAGAAAGTTTTAAAAAAGCCAGAGGAGACTTGCCAAGTGGTAAAGCCAGCTTATGATGGCCAGCCACCTTCCAGAATTGAAAGATGTAATGGCAGGCACTGCCAAACCCAATCCAAAGAAACCAAGAGAACTAAGTGTGTGAAGATGTTGGCCACCCAGTATTGCTACTGTGACCATCCCTGCATGCCACCTGATGACAAAATTACAGAAAACTACAGAACAGCCTCCAAAGACTCTTTACATCAAAGTAAAATAATGAAACCAAAAAAAAAAAAAGCACCTGCTTCAGCATTTAAAGAAGCTGACTGGTGGTGGGTTCCGACTCACAGCGACTCTATACAGGGTTTTTACAGGAGCAGAAAGACTCATCTTTCTCCAGCAAAACAACTGGTAGTATATCAAACTGCTGACCTTGAGGTTAGCAGCCCAACTTGTAACCACTACACTACCAGAACTCCTTAGAAGCTGACTGGCAATACATAAAGCAAGTCATTAAAAAAAAAAAAAAAAAATCACAAATTTTGATTCAAGAACCTCACACCTCCTGGGAATTTATTCCAAGAAAATAATCATTTAAAAAAGTATGTGCAAAAATTGTACTGTTGACATTAATCAAATTCGGCATTGGGCTGTTGCACAATCTTTAAAAATACTTGTGATGTATACAAATAGATGTGAATATGTGAGCTTAAAATTGGTAAAAAGCTGTATGCACATCACAATTGCATCTACAAAGTTATTCATATATGGGGAAAATAAAGAGGCCATAGAGAAATGTACACAGTTCTTATCTAACCAAAGGAGATACTAAATAAATTGATACCTTTGATAACAATTTGTTTCATAATTTTTAAAAGAGCAGGGAGGAGTAGGAGGGTTTAGACAATTGCAGCAAACACATTTACTGTCCAGAAAGTTACTTACCTCCAATCATTTGATACCTATAGTTAGGCAGAACCATATCAATTCATTTTCCAAGCATTCCTATTATCCTAAGGGGTCTGATTACAACACAAAACTATGCCTAGGCATCCTCTGTACTCACTAGTGACACATTCTCTTGACAAGAGCTTCAACAGGTTCAGGTGTTCAAACACGAATCACGGGGAATAATGAAGTAGCCATACCACATGGCTACCTCATATCTCCTAAAATTTAATAAAGAAGCAAAAGACAACAAGAAGGAACTGGTCTTACAAGTTCTAGCCTATTTCTAGAATTATGACTAACAACATTGCAAACAACCCCCAAAGAAAAGGGAAAAAGAATTACCAACCGACACACTCCAATAGTGTAATCTGACGAGCCACTGTTCTTTGTACCAGAAAAGGAAGACCAGAGCCACTTCCTGATGTGCACGAATGATCCAATAAATCCTGTAGTTTAAGGAGAAAAATGAAACTATTGAGAAATAGCTCTTGGTGTAATGTATTAGCATGCATGGCATTGTAACTTACATGGAAGGCAAAGATCCAGGACATGTGGCCCATTAGAAAGCACCAAAGGAAGAGGGGCTTGCTTGTACTTCTACCCTAACATAGGACAGGGATTTTCTGAGGACCAGTAGTCTTAACTTTTTATTAAAAACCCTGAGTTTCAGAATAGAATGCATAACAAAAGAAGCTGAGCAGAGCGAGTTGAATGTGCAATTTGGAAAGAAGTCCCAAAAAACAGAGATGTACCCCAAGGGGAAGTGGCAGAAAGAATATCAAGTGGAGCAAAAAGAGAGAGAGGAAGCATCTCCAACTCAAAGAATGAGAGATGATTTACCAAACTCCCCTACACTCACTGGGTATCTCTCAAAAGATCCACTTTCCTTGACATACCAACTTAGGAATTCTAATTAAATATTGTTTGTACTGCAAAGATCCCACGGACTATGTGGGTCATCACATTGGTACACTCAAGCAAGGGTGGGCTACTTAGATGGAAGTAGTCATAAAACTACTTGAGGGTCACAAAATTTACACCTACATGTCATTTGTGGATCATTCACAAATCAAAGAGGAAGACAATTTTTTTTATTAAAAACAAAATCATGGTTACAGAGCATGATGAATGTAATCAATGTCACCGAGCTGGACATAGAAAAATGGTCAAAATGCTAACTTTGTTATATATATTTTACCACAATAAAATTTTAAATAAAATATAACTAGTACAGGAAACTTATTTGTATGAATGAAATATGTTGTCCAAAAAAGATTCTGTTAGTTGTCTCATACATTCTTCCTTCTTTCCCTCATCGCAGGTCAAGAAGCAAAAACCTTTTTGTCTCAAGAATGCATTATGTGTCATCAACAGAATGAGCCTATGGTAGTGGTGGTATGGTTTTAGTAACAAGAGTAATATTTCCTAAAGCTTATCCTTCCCCCAAGATTTCTGCTTCCCTGGTAAAACAATATATTGATTTGTTTTAATTTCATCTTCTTTCACTTCTTCTAAGTACCACATCAAAGAACTGTTGAATAGCAAAATCACTAAAAGTTGAACAAAGAAATTTAGAATCCATATAAAACCACAAAATGGGTCATCAACAAGAAAGTGGGTATCATTGAAGAAGTAGTATTTCACAGCTTTCCAATTATTCTTTTTGTTCTTTGCATTCTCATTCCAATTTTTTTAAAGAATAATACAGAAAATTAAATGAATGCATTATTTTATTCATAATATATAGCCCTGTTCTAAGCCCAGTTAAGAGACTTAAAAGAGGGGAGAAGTCAATAGAAAATTGCCATCTACTTCAAATCCTGAATTGTTAAGGACTTTTTTCATCCCTATAAAGCACCTGTTTAGTAGCAGAGGGCAAGCTATGTTGTATTATGCAAATGAGCACACCACTTAAATACGTATGTAGATTTATAATGATAACTTATATAGTATTCTTTACTGTGTTATTAGATTGTGATATACTGTCATCTTATGTGGTTGAGTTTAGAAGACTATTTTGGCATCCATTCCCATTCTTCTTTCAAAATTCTAAGAGCAATTTACACTAGATGCTCCTATTATTGCCCTTGGTAATTAAGAGTTGTGTTAGCAGCTCTTAGGAATACAATTCTGACTAATCTATTTTAGAACTGCTTTGCAAAAGCTTTGTCAGAATTCATCCTCATATCTTTTTGCTACTAATTTAGTAAACTCATTTAATTTTCCTTAAAACTTGAAATAGACTGCTATGTAGTTTCCATAGAAAACAACAACAACAACAAAAAACTACTTCTACTTTTTGAAATAGAATGTCCTTAAATTCTCCTTTCCCACTTTTGCTGTACTACAATTTAAATAGGTAGGAAAAAAGAAAACTAAACAAGCTTTCTTCCTTCTTTCTCTTCTCACAAAGTAAACTTGACTGGAGGCCCAGTGGCTGGGAAGGCAGCAGATTCCAGGAGACCCCAGCCTATGTTGTTGTTGTTGTTAAGTGCTGTCGAGTCGGTTCCGACCCATAGCGACCATGTACAGGGTTTCTGAGGGTGTAAATCTTTATGGGAGTAGAAAGCCTCATCTTTCTCCCGCGGAGCGGCTGGTAGTTTCGAACCGCTGACCTTAAGGTTCGCAGCCGATTCGTAACCACTACGCTACCAGAGCTCCTTATGTTAGCCACCACCAAATGTTTTAACTACTGCCAAAAGTGAGTCCTGCAGCTTTTCAGGTCTAGCACCTGAGCTACAAAGATAGCCATTGAAGAGAGAAACTGTCTCTAGCCAGGAGGAGGTAGTTACAGAGTTAGTCTTTCCCCTGAGCAAACCTGACTGCATGCCTACCAGGCATTTTTAATGTGTCTTTTAACAGAACAAGAATTACTATACATAAGATGACTTTCGGTCATACACGGACAAGTCTTACTTACGTAAGGCTGAATCACATCAAAAAGTTAGGACCTTGGTTGTCTTTCAATTCAAGAGAAGAGCCTTGATTTTGTGCGGGCATATCTTTAACACCTTTGAAACACTAATCTTCACCTTTTTCAGAGTAGGCATCCGGGTTCAGCACAGTTAACAACTTACAATTTTACTTTTAAAGGTTGACAGTAACCTTTCATTTCTAGTAAGTGATACTCTTCTGACTGAATTTGGCTTCTTTTAAATTAACACTTGACAGTTTTTTTTTGTTTTTTTTAACGTAAAAACAGAAAAGGTAGTCAGTTTTTAATATGATTTTATCATTTAAAAATATGTAAAAGAGTAATTTTTAAGTGTAAAATTAAATGGTTTCTAGCCTGCATTTCCAATATGGTAGCCACACAAGCCATTCCCATTGAGTAAGTGAAACGTGGCTAGTCTAAATTTAGGTAAGCTGTCAGAGTAAATGCTGTAAGATAAAGCACTGGACCTCAAAATCCATTTGAACCTCAAGGTCAGTGATTCAAATCCCCTAGTTGTTTTGCGGAATCCCTATATAAGGTCGCTATGAGTCGGAACCAATTCAGCAGCACTTAACAACCACCACCTGAGTAAAGCATTGCTGTTGTTGATTACTGTTGAGATGACTGTGACTCTTGCTACGCCATGGGCGCAGAGGAGAACTACTCCACATAGGTTTTCAAGGCTGGGACCTTTTGGGAAGCAGATCATTGGCCTTACTTCCAAACAACATTTTGGTAGGTATGAACCGCCAATCTTTAGTTGTATAATCCAGCACTTAACCATTTCAAGGCTCCTTCAGAAGTGTAAAATACACACCATATTTCAATGACTTAATTAAAAAATAAGAATATACATTAGCTCACTAATAATTATTATTGATTTTATGCTGACATGATCATTGGAGATACTAGGTTAAATAAAATGCAGCGTTAAAAGTAACTTAATATGTTTCCTTTTGCTCTTTTTAATGTGGCTACTGGAAAAAATTGGATTCCTAGTGTGGCACTGTAGGATAAGCACTGGATTACAAGGTCGGGTTGAACTGCAAGGTTGGTGGTTCGAACTCACCAACTGCTCCTCAGAAACTCTATACAGGGTCGTTATAAGTCAAAACTGATTCAATGACACTAACAACTTGAAAAAGTTACACGTGGACAGCACGATTCTAACCAACTGACTGCCCTCCACAAGAGGGCAGCACGGGAGCATGAAAACTGTCCGAGCGACTTTTTTGGACGTCAAGTTTTAAGGGTGCTGAAATAATCTAGAAAGGAAAGTTTAGTTTCTAATATTAAGCAGAGGTGTTTTTTGGTAAGTAGTGTTATTAATAAAGGAGTGAGTACTATAAATTTCAAGCTATCCGCCTACCTGCCACCAAATTTTAGGCAATCATTCTCTGTTTCTTTTTCCCTTGCTCCCCAAAGAAAGTTAACTACAAAGAACATACTAAAATAACTCATATTACTCATGCAAATGACTGGTTAAAATGGATGTTTCATGTAAACGACATTAAACAAATGCCAGCAAATGCATTAAGACATAAGTAACCAGTGGTTATGTGTGCTACAAGGTTCTGGTAAGAAACATATAAGGGTCTTATGGCATCTTCATTGTGCTAGGGATTTCCTGTGGGGCCACACACTCACTGCTAAAGTGCTGTCTCCAACATTGGTGGTGATGAGACCTTCGATGGTGCCGTACTCAACATCTCTGGGATTGAGGCGTTCTTGGTTGTGCCTTTTAAATTTTCGGAGAGCAACTCCCAGGAGGCAAGCTAGAAGGCATACTGCAAACACTACGGACAAAATAATGAGGCCAACTTCCAAGTGAAAATTCTGTGTTCCAGGGAAGGATTTCCCTGGAGATAAAGAGAGAGGGGTAATTGGCTGTAAGAATCACCAGTTCTTGGTGTATTATTATGCATTACCAACATCCTGATAAGCAGCTCCTGATTCTAACCACATATTCTTATATAACAGCGGCAAAATGTTATAGCTAAAATGCTTCCTAGTACCTGACCAGTCATTTTACCAAACAGCCAATTAGATAAAACCGCAGTTTGAAAAAAATCTCACAACTGCATTAATGCATGTAAATGAACGTGCTTTTAAACTATAAAGTACTATATAGAACTCTGGTAATAATCTCGTTAACGTGATTTTTTTTTTTTCAATAAGGATGTTTTATAATCAAGTCCTTACAGATATATGTTGTAATATCACTATGAGAAAGTGCTACCTGAGTAAAAACAGAATTACCCAAACTCTTTGGGTATACACAATCAATGTATGTATTATGTCTGTTACTGAAGTCTCAGTAATCGCTTTACATCATGATTTCTCCCTAAGAAACATTCTTTTACCTTTTCCTTTACTCACATAAACATTCATTCACTGATTAATTCACTCATATAATCATTTACACCCTTGCTCAAACATCCTTACATTATCCATTCAAACATTGGCATATCACCTAAGCAAATATTTACAAAAGCTTTCTTCTTGCCTAGCAAGTTAAATCCAAATTTCTTAGTTGGGCACATGGTCCCAAAATAATAATCAGCTCTGAATTTCAGATGCCTTCCTGATACTATCACCGAACTCTGTTCTTCACAACATATGCCTTACACTCTTTATGACTTTAGTAACCATCAGATCTCAAGCCTAATTTTCATCCTAATATTTTTCCTTAACTTCCTAGTCCTAAATAATCAATAAGTTGTCATATATAATATTCTACTGTACTTGGTTTTGTATAATAAAGTATAAAATTAATTACATGCAACATAAAATGAGTATTGTTGCTTGCCTCACTAATTAGATGAGAAATTCTTAAATGAAGTAAATCTACTAATAAAACCAAACAGCCAAACCTGTGGCCCTCAAGTCAATTACAACTCAATGTGATTCCATGTTAAAGAGTAGAACAATTCCTTTGGGTTTCCTTGGCTGTACTGTCAAGAGGGAGCAGTTGCTGGAAAAAGATATTATGTTTGGTAAGGTGGAGGGCCATAGAAAAAGAGGAAAACCCCCAACGAGATGGACTGGCCAAGTGGCAACATCGATGGAATCAAGCGTGACAACAGTAGTGAGGTTGGCCCAGGATTGGGCAGTGTTTCGTTCTGCTGTACATAAGGTTGCTATGGGTCGGGACCAACTCGATGGCACCTAACAACAAACAATAACAATCTTTACAAAAGCAGTTGGTCAGCACGTTCTTCCTTGGAACCTCCAGGTGTGTTTGAACTGCCAACCTTTAAGTTAACAGTTGAAAACAAATGGTGCCATCAGGGACCTTTATTACAACTCTGGGCCTAACAAAGTAATGTACACATTATAAACTTCATACTGTTGAGTAGATTATATGGAATATTCTCCAAACTGTATTCAATCTAGTAGTATATCCTAATGACCTCTAGAGACAGCTATCTCAAAGTCCTTACAAATTTTTGTAGGATTGCAGACATTTCTCCATGTCCATCTACTCTATGAGATAGGTTGACACCGTGGCAGCAGCAATGGGCTGAGGCGTAACAATGATTGTGAGGTTGGTGCAGGACCCGGCAGTTTCATTCTGTTGTGCACAGGGTTGTATCAGTCGGAATCGACTGTTGTGCACAGGGTTGTATGAGTCAGAATTGACTCGGTGGCATCCAACACCAACACTACCACCTACTCTACTAATAACAACTTAACTGGCAAAGTGTAGAACTTATCAAATATCCTTTTAGTTTTAGCCTCTGAAGCGCTTGATCTTTCTTTTCAAAACCTTTTCCTATAACCTTCAATATCACCATTTTTAAAATAATTATTAAATTTTCTTACCAGAATCTAACCTATATGCCTTTAGCTTATCACTGTCACTGTTTGACTACTGCTGTATCACAGTCTATTTTGTTTGTTTTCTGTCACCTCCTTTCCTGGCTGACATTTCTGACAAGTGCTGACTGCTAGTAGCTTCTCCTAGTCTATCTTTTGGGTACCTTTTTCTTTTATGTGACCAAAACTAAGTAATTATACCTATGTTGATACAACCTTGCTTGCCGAAAGTGAAGAGGACTTAAAATACTTACTGATGAAGATCAAAGACCATAGCCTTCGGTACAGATTTCTTCTCAATGTAAAGAAAACAAAAATCCTCACCACTGGACCAATAAACAACATTCTTATCAATGGAGAAAAGATTGAAGTTGTCAAAGACTTCATTTTTCTTGGATCAACCATCAACACTTATGGAAGCAGCAGGCAAGAGATCAAATGACGTATTGCATTAGGCAAATCTGCTGCACAAGACCTTTCTCAAGTGTTGAAGAGCAAATGTCAGCTTGAGGACTACTATGGTACACCTGGCCTAAGCCATGGTATTTTCAATAACCTCATATGCATGTAAAAAGTTGGACAGTGAATAAGGAAGACTGTAGAATTGGTGCATTTGAGTTATGGTGTTGGAGGAGAATACTGAAAGTGCATGGGCTTCCAAAAGAACCAACAGATCTGTGTTGGAAGAAGTGCAGCCAGAGTGCTCCTTGGAGGTCAGCATGGCCAGACTTCGTTTCTCATACTTCAAACATATTGTCAGGAGGGACCAGTCACTGGAGAAGGATCTCATGTTTGGTAGGGTAGAGGGTCAGAGAAAAAGAGGGAAGCACCCCAGCGAGATGGAATGGCCAAGTGGCAGCATCAGTGGGCTCAAGCGTGGCAACAGTTGTGAGGTTTGCCCAGGACTGGGAAGTGTTTTATTCTGTTGTGCATAGGATCACTATGAGCCGGCACTGACTCAATGGCACCTAACAACAACAACATGCATCCAGAGTCCTGGTGTAGTGCTCTGGAATGTATAGTACACTGGACTGCTAGCCACAAGGTTGGCAGTTCAAGCCCAGAAGCAACTCCTCAGAAACCCTATACAGGGTCATTATTATCTTTTGAAACGGAGTCAATGGCACTTTAACAAAACACTTGCATTAAGAAAGGACCCTAAATGGTACAAATGGTTTGTGCTTGTTGGCTAATCTAATGGTTAGCAGTTCGACTCCACCCAGAAGTGCTGCAAAATGAAGGCCTGGTGGTCTACTTCTGGGAAGATCATAACCAAGAAAACCTTGGAGAGCAGTTTGCTCTGTAACACATGTGGTTACCCATACAGTCGGAATCAATTTGACAGCAAGGGGCTTGGCTGGGCTTACATATTAAGGGAGAAAATTTGGTGCAGAGTGCATCTATGAAGAGTGTGGTATGTACTCACTTGCTGGGGCTTTGAGACAGGGCTCATTTTATGGTGAGACAGTTTTATAGAAGAACCAGCTTTTATAGTATTTATGACTGTACTGAATTCAATCTAGAAATTCAGCAAGGTTCATGTGAAATCTTATGTGGCCTCAAGGATCACTGGGAACCAGATACATAAGCAGCAGGCTTTCATTTTCTCCTTCCTCATAGAGGAGGAAAGGCATTCTATTGAGGCACCTGAGTCTTAGATACTATTTTCCTCCAATCCACCTGCCAAAGAGGTGAGTATTTACTAAGGAGAGCTGAAGTCACGGACGTCTCTTTAACAGAAAGATGTGTCAGGAATTGTTCGTCTGTGTGATGAGTTACGTCAAAGTGGACACTTAGTCTTGCTTACTTTCTCAAAAATGCCCACCCTCTTTCTAGACCCCAAATGGTCATATCTATCTCTCCCTCACTCAGAGCTCTCTTCTTTGTCATCCACTGACACTGGTTCAAAGAGTAGGAGGAAAGCCTTGTGGCTACTTAGATATTTAACCCACACAGAATCATGGCAACACTAACAAAACCCCTTGATCTAGAAATAGAAAAGTCCATGGGAACCTTTTGTGGGCAGATGGGCCGTGATGTTCCTGTTGCACCAGTTCCCTTGGCAGCACTCCACGGCCTGACCAGGAGAGGGCGGGGTCTTACAGGTCATCTTGCCCTGCTCGTAGACTTGGAAGCAGCCTTTCTGGTAGACTTGGTAGCCATCGTTTATGCTCAGGGAGGAGAAGCATTGTTGGCCTTCACAGTGGTCCTCGTTCCCACAGGAGAGGCCTTCACACACACACATATAAAGCTTGGTGTTTGCCTTGGGCGTCTCATCTGCAAAGGAGAGAGGGGAAAGAAGATGAAAAAGAATCACTTTATGGGCTTTCATTTGCAACTAGCTGCACACTGACCAGAGAGAAAGTCAAGTGAAGCATCACCACTTAACACGGTACCCACAATGTGTGATCTTTTACCTCTCATGTGGCCAGCCACTAAAACACAATTGCCCCTCCACATATGAATCCACGTATCTGGTACTGTAGAGTAAGCATTGGACTGTCAACAGCAAAGTTGGTAGTTCAAACCCACCGGCCGCTCCTTGGAAACCATATACAGGATTGCTATGAGTTAGAATCGGCTCAATGGCACTTTACTATTACTACTAACCATTACTACTACTACTGACTACTACTACTACAACAACATAAGCTGCATATGCCCTGAGACCATAGTAGGCCAAAGACTACTTATCCTTTAGCTGCAGGGCTCTGAAAATTAACTCCCAATGTGGGTCTCATGAAACTTTTGCCATAAACCAAACCCAACCCATTGCTTTTGAGTTGTTTCCGACTCCTAGTGACCCTGTATAGTAAATTTCCAAGGTTGTATATCTTTATGGGAAAATATCACTGCTCTCCTATGGGCGGCTGATAAGCTTGAACTACTAAACTTGCAGTTAGTAATCAAGGGCTCCTTAGCCTTTGGCATGATGAGGTTCTTATCTCAATTCTTATATCAGGATAAAAATGTTTGCCAGTACTTAATGCTCATCACCCTGGAGAGGTCTCTAAAATATATTGTTGTTGGTAAGTGTCCTTGAGTCACTTCCGACTCATAGCAACCCTGTATAGAGTTTCTGAGGAGTGGCTGGTGAGTTTGAACCACCGACCTTGCGATATAGTGGTTATCCTACAGTGCCACACCAGGATTTCCTGAAATATATAGCCGCTGTTAACAGCAGTTCCGGTTAGCTCTGTACAAATCTCCAACAACAAGGAAAGCAGACATTCCTGCCATCAGTTCACAACTTTAGAAACTTTTCAGCATATTAGTATAATAAAAATTTGCAAAGATGCACAGTGTCTGCTTACAAATCATATTATCAATATTGCCAGTTAGATACCTAGAAAAAATTTTTCAATCAGAATAACGCCAAAGTTTTTTACATTGACTATTAACGGGAATTGGAGTCCTGGTGTGGCGCTGTAGGATAAGCACTGGACTGCTAATCACAAAGCTGGCAGTTCAAACCCAACCGCTGCTCCTCAGAAACCCTATTCAGGATCGTTATGAGTCGGAACCGACTCGACAGCACTTAACAAGCAATAACACTAATTGGAATTAAGAGCTACTTAAAATTTTCTCCTGGCAGAAAACTTCTGGACACCAATTTTTGCTTTTATGCAATACAGGATGCGGGCACGTGATGACTAAGACTAGAACAAGGACTGGACAGTAAGGTAACAGGTGGAACCAAAGGAGCAGCACACAGCTGTGAGTTCAAGGTGCAGTGGAAAGATAGTCAGAAACGGGTCAGCCGTGAAGCACTCCTAATCAATCCTTCTAACTGTCTCTTTTTGAAAACACTTATGTGCAGTTTCATAATTCATATTACAGTTTCATATATTGCTCTCTGCTTTTCCTTCCTCCATTGTTAGAGTGATTAGTTGAGATCTGCTGGTCTCAACAATTTCCACGAGGGAGGAAGGAAGTGAAGTGGGGGAGAATATAAACAGCCAAGGCTAGAAGCCACTGATTAGTGAGTTGAGGGCCACTTTCACCAAAGCATTGCTCATATAAGGAAATTCCATTTGCGGAGCTTTCTCTGAAGGTCTATATCCCAGAGAGGCTGCCTTCTAAACCTTGGACCCTCTATAGCGGGTCTGTGAGAAAACGGCTTCTTTTTTAAAATAACAGGTTGGGTACTTTAAAGAGAAGACATGAGGGTAAGGTCTTTGAGAATGTCACACTCATTTACACGGATTTGTGTGGGTGTGTGGAGAGATGTGGGTGACCTCAAAAAGAGAAACATGTTCTTCAGCTTTCTTCTTCCCTCTTCAAAGAAGTGAAAAATAGTTCAATGCCCACTGTAGTGAGGGTGCCTCGTCTCACAGGCTGAGTGCATGCAGACACACATACACAAGCCTTCTATTTATAATTGACTCGCTAGATCTTTTGAAAACCACAAGGGGCTCATCCAAGAGCAAAGACATGCCTGAAAGTAGAAAATCCAAAATAGCCACTGACTCTGCTATGTATGTCACTGTCTCACCCCTGAGAATCAAGAGGCCTCAGACATTTTTAATGAGTAAAAATTTTAATGAGCACAGAGGTAGTCGCTATTTTCCCTGCCGAGAGAAATTCTAACACCAATCTGCTTCTACGAGGCTAAGCAACATATATATCTGTTGACATAATCCAGCAAAGTTTACACTTGCCAAAAGAGAGTTGAAAGTATTTCTAGGGAGTCTAGACGTGCTTGCCACTCTCGAATGGCACAGAGCTGGGCTGAGGGCTGCCAAATATGCTGCCCAACAGGTGAGGATTCTTTGGAGGAAAATGAATGGGCGGGTGGAAAGGGAGAGAGCAAATGGTGTCATATTGATTTGTTATCGACACCAGCTACACAAAAGTAGACAAAAACTCGTGTGGTAATTTGCCTCAGTGAAAGGAATTAAAGTGACATGGATGGCTACATCAGACAATGCAATTTAAGTATGTTTCAAACAAAACGTGTATTTTTTAAACCCTAAGTATTTTTAAGAGATCATAGATATCCAAGGATATAAATTTTAACACTCATTAAAGACTATGTGCCCATTGAGACTGACTTGGGAATGAGGAGGTTGGGGGTTAGGGTTAAAGAGTTAAAGTGAAAATAAAATTACAGAGTAGCTGTTCAGGGACTCCTGTGTTGCTGTAGGATAAATGCTGGACTGCTACTGCAAGGTGAGTGGTTCAAACCCACCAGCTGCTTCTTGGAAACCCTATATAAAGTTACTATGAGTCTGAACTAACTCAATGGCACTTAACAACAACAGTGTAGTGCTGTAAGATAAGCACTGGACTGCTAACCACATGGCTGACAGCTCAAACCCACCAGGTGGAAACCTTCTATAGGGTCCCTGTGAGTCAGAACCAACTCAGCGGCACTTAATAACAACAACATTCATGGACTAATACTGGAATGGGGAATGTGGTTTACTCAACTCCCTGCACTTCAAGTCCACCAGGAACAACAAACAGGTAACTATCAATCATAGGAGTGCAATGGAGATGACTAGCTCAAGGGAACCAAAATAATGAGCACATTTCTAATCAAATAAATCCATTAAAAATAATGTAGTACTGATATGCTTCTCTTTTTAATAGCCTTGGAAACCCTATATGCAGTCACTATGAGTCAGAACCAACTCAACAGCATACAGCAACAACAACCCCAACTATGCAACACACACAGGCATAAAGGAGTATAGACCTTAATCCTAACGGGCATAAATGAATTCACGGGAATTCATTTAAAGACGCTCCTGTATCTTTAAGATTCTTCCTGTCTTTGAATAGACAATCAGGGTCGACAAACCTTAAATTGGTGATTCTTTGATGAGTAACATGTCAAAACCCAGGATATTCATAACCTTCCCTCCACAATCAGGAAAAAGAAAAGCGGCGAGGACAGGCACCTTTTAGTTATAATAAAGTAACTCAGTTTTGAAGCATCATGAGCCCACAGCTCAGTTTAGCAGTTAGCGAATGGGAAAGTACACAGCCTTCACCAACGTGCCCTTGCTATTTTGCCTCTCACCCAATCTTTAGTTTAATTTGTATATTCCTCACTAGTCAGGGGAGTGCTTTCAGTATCTTCTATTTTTCACATACAGCCAATTTACATAAATGAAGACCCTAAATTTATAAGACTACAAGAATGACCACACACACATTAGTTAAATGTTACTTGGGTAACTTCCTTTGGCAGAATGATTAGTTCGAAGAGATGCCAAAAGGATTTCAGAGCTAGGATTACTAATTCAACAAAGAAGGTTAAAAGGACAGTGGAGGCACTCTCAGATCTTAATATCCACAACTCTAAGGAACACAGCAGGCCCCCAAATGCCCATTAGTCACGTTTTCTTTTTCAGTCTTGTCAAAATTGAGGAATAGTTACAACATGTGTGGACCTATAATTTTATTTGAGGTTTGCATGCAGCATGGTGGGTGGAGAACAAACACAAAGCCCCTTTAAGGACCACAGGTAAAGTGTCTATGGATCCCTAATCCCTAATCTCTCAAGAGTGAAATATAAAAACGGCACCAAGAAGTGGACAATCACCTCTGGTGATTGGTTTTTCAACAGCCCAAACAGGAGGCAGCAGAGTATTTTACACTCGCCTGTGCAAACAACCAGGAACTGCCCCTGCAGAAGGCAGCAGAGTCCACTCCACCTAATTGACATGCATTTAAATTATTCAGCAATTTAAATGTCAAGCCAAAGGTATTCCCTCTCTGCCACTGCAGTGCTCACCCACACTGTTTGCTCTGAAAGGCACCTCCCTTCATTACTCAGTGTTATGGCTGGCAATGTCTGTCCTTTGTAGCAGCAAATCCAGGACAGTGTGAAAACACTTGCAGTCTGGGTCTAACTGGGAGCAGCAAGGAGTTCTGACCACAAATGGAGGCTGCTTTGAGGAGACCAATACCCTTGGGAGGATCTGGTTTTGGCTGTATCAGCCCAAGGGGCAGGCTTGGAACCCAAGGGTTTCACCACAGCCAAAGCTTCAAAAAGATTTTTCTTGCTCTGCCATCAAACTTACCATCTGAACACACCTATTCTCATAACATAATCCTAGACTAGCAAAGAAAAGTCTCAGAACAAAGAGCATCACAGACTCTCCCCAGGCTGGGATAAGCTTCTACCTCACAGTAAAAGTATTCACACGTATGCAGTCTCGACACAAGGCTCTGACTTATGCATCCCCACCTTTTGCAAGGTTCTACCTCCCAGCTGCTCATTCAATAATGTTGTAATACATTTGTGAGGTCGTCATGAGATGGTG